GAGGAGTGCGTTTTTTGGAGGGGTTTGGGGCTTTTGGGGGCGCGGGGGGCGGCGCGAGGGTTTAGGGTTTAGGGTTTGGGGTTTAGCGTTTGGGGGGAGGGGGGAGCGGGGGTACGGGTTGGGAACTGCGGGGTTTAGGGTTGGGTTGGCTGCTGGAGGCGCACGGCCGAGGGATGGCGAGGGGGATTGCCGCTAGGGTTTAGGCTTTAGGGTTTAGGGTTTAGGGTTTAGGGTTTAGGGTTTAGGGTTTAGGGTTTAGGGTTTAGGGTTTAGGGTTTAGGGTTTCGTCTTTTTTTCTTCAGGAGCGACTTTCCGTGGAAGATGCTCTCCACCACCCCTGGATGATGAGTCTAGCCCAGAGCAGCCAGAATGTGCCTTTGCCCGTTACCCTCATGGCAAACCTCAAGGTGAGGGTTTAGGGTTTAGGGTTTAGGGTTTAGGGTTTAGGGTTTAGGGTTCAGCTGTTCCCGGGAAGCGCACACGGCCAACGAGGCGGCGGCGGCGGCGAAGGCTCAGAAACTGTCTCGTGGAGCCCGGATCCAGGCTTTCGGGTTTAGGGTTTAGGGTTTAGGGTTTAGGGTTTAGGGTTTAGGGTTTAGGGTTTGGGGTTTGAACGCAGGGTTTCCGCGCGCAAAACCGGCTGAAGAAGGCGGCCTTGACTGTCATAGCGCAGCACATGACGGACTCCGACATAGACCATTTGCGGAAGATTTTCATTTCTCTTGACGTCGACAACTCCGGCACTTTGTCCGTACAGGCAAGTGGTCCACTGGTCCACTGGTCCACTGGTCCACTGGTCCACTGCTGCTGCTGCTGCTGCTGCTGTTGCTGCTTTTACTGCTGCTGTTGCTGCTGCTGCGTAGTAGTGGCTCGAGTTGCGCAGGGGCAGCTGAATGGAGATGAATTGAGGGTTTTCTAATTGGGGTTTTTGGGGTTTTGAAAAGATTAAATGGAGAGGAATGGAAGGTTTTCTAATTGGGGTTTTTGGGGTTTTCAATTTAGTGTTTTTATTTTCAATCAGCTTTTTTAGACACTTCCGTGGTTTGCAGTGTTGCCTGTTTGTACTGATGGCAGAAAATGGGGTACAGGGTCGCTTCAAACCTCATTTTAGGGTTTAGGGTTTAGGGTTTAGGGTTTAGGGTTTAGAGGCTGGGGGTTTAGGGTTTACGGCTTAGACTTTCGGCTCTAGAGTGGTTTCAAAAGCATGTGCAGCAGCAGGGCTTCACAGAGCTGCAGCGATAACAGCTCAATTGATCCCCGACAGTCAAGTACTGGGCGTTCTAGGGTTTAGGGTTTAGGGTTTAGGGTTTAGGGTTTAGGGTTTAGGGTTTGGGTGGCTGCAGGAAGTGGCCGAGGGCCTGAAACGTCTTGGCTGGACAGAAATCCCTGCAGACTTGCAGGCGATCATGGAAGATGTGGACTCTGACAAATCGGGACACATTGACTACACCGGTGAGTCGCTAATTTAGGGTTTAGGGTTTAGGGTTTAGGGTTTAGGGTTTAGGGTTTCAGATGAACATCAAAGATTCCCAGAAGCAGCATTCATAACTGGCCCACAGCACAGGTACTCTTATATATATATTTACAATTTATTTGTACGTTTGAGGGTTTAGGGTTTAGGGTTTAGGGTTTAGGGTTTAGATATAGATAATGTTCTTTTGAGATTAATCATCTATTCTTTTTCTTTTTGCCTGTAGAGTTCATCGCCGCAACGATGGACAGAAAGCTTTACATGAAAGAAGATGTTTGCTGGGCTGCCTTCAGAGTCTTTGACTTGGTAAACCCTAAACCCTAAACCCTAAACCCTAAACCCTAACTGCACAGCCTGAGGTTCATATATTATGCATACATGTGTAGGTATGTATATTATAGGTATTATATTTATGCACTTTATTTAATACATATTTTATATTCTATTTGTATTTTTGCATTTTTTATTTCTCATTTTATTTGCAATTTAATTGTGGAAGTGTTTAGCATGCAGTGCAGCACAGAAGTACAAAAAGCAGAAAGTAAAAATAAATAAATAATAAAATTTATTTAATTTTATTTTTATCCGTTGCCACATATAAGTCTGTACTTACATGTATATACACCTTCGTGCATGCATAATGTTTGAATTTATTTATTTGAAGTTCTTCTTTTCATGTTTACGCACAGTTGTGAAATATATATATATATATAATATGTATATTATATATATGTATATATATAATATATATATATTATATATAATATATATTATATATATATATACATATATATGTATATTATATGTATATATAGAATTGCAGATAATTTATTTTTTAAACGAATGGGAGTGGATTACATCAATATAAGCCACAATGAAATATATTTTATTTAATAGATACCTGAAAACAGGCGCATGCATGCATGCATGCATGCATGCATAAATGCATGCATGCATGCATGCATAAATGCATGCATAAATGCATGCATGCATGCATGCAGAATCAAAGGCTTTTCCTTTTTTGAAAAATCCGAAACTTGCGAATTATTTGCCGTTTTGGCGCGCGCATTGTTCGTGAGAATTGCAATTCTTAATTCTTTCATCATTTATTACTATTTATTTATTATTTATTTATTTATTTATTTATTTATTTATTTATTTATTCATTTATTTATTTATTTGTTTTCAGGATGGCAACGGGAAGATCTCGCAAGACGAGCTGCGCCAGGTGCTGGGAATGCCCAAAGTGCAGGGGGCTGTGGGCAGCGAGACGATAGCGGCGCTGCTGAAGGAGGTGGACTTGAACGGCGACGGAGAGGTCCGATTGAGCGGAAAGCTGCGTTAAAAAGCTGAAAAGGACTTCAAATTGAACTTCTTTTTCATTTATTTATTCATTTATTTCTTTATTTTTCCATTTGGGCTTTTGTTTCGCCTTTTTTCGAGTCTTTTCGCCTTTTTCCAAAGAAACGCCACGCATGCGCTCTAGGAGTGCAGCAGCAACAGGCGAAAGCGCCTTAAAAGCCCCGTTTATTCTTTATTTATTTATTTATTTATTTATTTATTTATTTATTTATTTATTTATTTATTTGTTTGTTTTTGTTTTTGTTTGTTTGGTGATTGCAGATCGACTTTGAAGAGTTTATGCACATGATGCGGAAACGAACTCCCGGCGAAGCGCAGCAGAGAGAACCGAAAAAGAAGAGCAGCAAATGAGACCAAAACAAAAAGAAAAACAAATAAAAATAAAAAGGAAAAGAAAAGTGAAAATGAAAATAAAAATAAAAATAAAAAACCAAAACAAAGGATATATAAATGATTAAATAAGCCCCAGGTACTGGCGAACCCCCCTTGTTTGGCCGCAGCATGCGGCGACGCAGTCATTTAACAAATATAAATTAACTTAATTAAATTTATTTATTTATTTTCATTTCTTCTGAAACAAATAAAATGTTAATTCCATGGAAATAGGATTGGGGGCCCCTGGGGGCCCCCACGCGCTGGAGCAGCGGAGAAGGGGGCCCCGGGGAACTGTGATAAAGCAGCACATCTTAATGCAGAAGCAGCAGCAGCAGCAGCAGCAGCTGCTGCTGCTGCTGCTGCAATTGTTGCAATAGAAAGAAGAAGCGCTGCGGCAGAAACAGCTGCAGCAACGGCTGCAACAGCAGCAACCGCTGCTGCAGCTATAGCTGCGGCAGCAGCTGCAGCAAAGAGCTGCAGGAAGAAGCAGCAGCAGCAGCCGCAACAGCAGCAGCAGCTGCTGCTGCTGCTGCTGCTGCTACTGTTTTTGGTACGGCCGACTTACTGGCTGCGGCCGCGCCCTTTGGTTTGGCGTTTCTACAGAGTAATATATTTATATTATATTTTTGTTTCTTTATTTTCTTTTTCTCGTTTATTTTGTTTTATTATTATTTATTTCTTTTATTATTTCTTTCTTTCTTTCTTTTTATTTGTTGCTGCCTTTCCAACGCAACAGCAGCAGATTTCGAATTTCTAATTCTTCTCTTTTCTCCTGTGGGGCCCCACAAGTTCGACTGCAGCAGCAGCAAAATGCAAAATCCATTTTAATTTTAATTTAGTCTTTTGCAGAATTAAAAAACAAAAAATATTAAATTGCGAAAAAGAAAATCTTCAAACTTCAGGTGTCTGTACACCCCAAGGCTGCGGTGTATGTACACCCCACTGAACGCTCCCGCAAAACAAACGCGGAAAGCGCTGCTGCTGCTGCTGCTGCTGCTGCTGCTGCTGGCCTTGCTACTGCAGCGCCGCTGCTGCTGCTGCTGCTGGCCTTGTTGCTGCAGCGCAGCTGCCGCAGCTGCTGCTGGCCTTGCTGCAGCAGCAGCAGCAGCTCCTACAGCTGCTGCTAGCGTTGCTGCTGCAGCAGCAGCAGCTACAGCAGCAGCAGCAGCTGCTGCTGCTGCTGCTGCTGTGTACACTGCAAGGAAAATTGGGAACCCTAAACAGCACAAGCATCTGTGACAAGCCGCAGCAGCGGGCTGTGCTCTTCCAGCAGCTGCTGCTGCTTGGCGGGGTCTGCTGCTGCTGCTGCTGCTGCTGCTGCTGCGGGCTGCTGCTGCAGCACTCGCTGCAGCTCGGCCTGCCGCAGCCGCTGCACCGCCTGCTGCAGCAGCAAATTCGCCTGCTGCCCCTTGGGGGAAAAGCCTGTGGGGCTATTTGCTGCTTCTTTAAGAGCTTGCAGCTGCTGCGGCTCCAAGTTAGCAGCAGCAAAGCGCCACACTGCTGCTGCTGCTGCCCCCAGCTGCTGCTGCTGCTGCTGCTCCTGCTGCAGCGACTCGTCCGCCTCCAACAGCTCACCCACGAGGTCCTTCCTGTCCCCTGTGCGCAAACCCCAAACCCTAAACCCTAAACCCTAAACCCTAAACCCTAAACCCTAAACCCTAACCATGCACACAGATGCACTTGTTCAGCTATATTCAAAACCAAATACCATAAACAATACAACACAAATATAATTTGCAAATTAAACAACCATAAATAGTCTGCTTTCAACTCAAAACTGCATTTGGAGCAGCAGCAGCAGCAGCAGCAGCAGCAGCAGCAGCAGCAGCAGCAGCAGCAGCAGCAGCAGCAGCAGCAGCAGCAGCAGCAGC